TGTTCCCCTTCTGAGTCTTGGTTCCTCTCAAGGTTTCTTCCTTTTGCTCTTAGGGAGTTTTTCCTTGCCGCTGTCTCCATTGGCGACGCTCATGGGGACTCGGACCCAGATTTTTCTCTAAAGCTGCTTTGTGACAACACCTGTTGTAAAAAGCGCTACATAAATAAACTTTGACTGGACTTGAAAATGAAAAATTTAACCTACTGCTATATTTGTTACTGCTTAATCACATCCTACGGCGCTTCCAGCAGTGTTTAGGTGCGATTTTCCCCCTACTAATGATGTGTGATGGAGGTGGGAAGAATGTTTGAAAAACTACAACTGCTTTGGGGTGGATATTTGTGGGCGGGCTGTTTTTCACCATCTAGTGAACACAGTAGTAAGGCAGATAGATAAGGTTACTGCTGGGAAGCAGAATATCTTACTACAGCCATATTACTGTAGAACAAGGGTCTTTCACTGCCCTGTTGTGGCTCCACAGCTGAATTAGATTTGTAGGTAAAAATAAAATAATCCTCCTTCACAGTAAAATAAAGCTCTGCTGATCGTTCAACACAGTTTAACAATAAATGGTCTTAAACTCTGGAGTTAATGTAGAACTGCTAATTCACCCTTTAACCCTGAAGATCAGCGCAGACTGCTGGTCACCACAGCAACACAGACAACAATCTTGCCTAGCTAGTAGCTAACGAAACGGCAAAGAGAGAGATTTAAGATGAACATCGATAATTTAGAGACGAATGGACTTATTTATACGTTTAATCTGCAACAAGAAACTGTCAAACACTGAAAAGTCGTGAAGATGAAGTCAGTTTCTTGTTCCATTTGTCCAGTTCCACCTTAAATAGTGACGCAGTTACATTCTAGCGCCTCAGACAATATTTAAGGTGGAATGGGAAAATTCAAATAAGGAGCTGGAGAATGAGAAGCGACTTCAGCCTCGTAAAAAATCGAGACATTTTACAAGAAACTGTTCTACTTTTGGAAAAGTTTCCTGCCGGAGATGCGAGAGAAGCAGCTATAGCTAAGCTAAAGCTTAAAGCAGAGCAAAGTAAGTCTGTGTTTTCGTTTATAATATATCTATTAGCCTATACTAGCACATCAACACACACTGAGACATATTAACAGCCAAGATGGTAAAATGGATATAAAATGTTGTGGCTCCCAAGGTGAATTGATTTTTGTTGAAAGGACAAAATGGACAAAACGGCTCTTCTTAATATTTGGGTTGCCAACCCCAGGTTTAGTAACTGTCATCAGATCATTCATACTATCATCTCTCAGAGAACAGAATGGATTAGTCATTGAGAGAGATGACCAGTCAGATGAGGATGATAACAAGCTAAAAGCTAAAGTTAGCGAGATAGCTGGCTATCAATATACCTTAGCTTAGATCCTATTCTCTTTATTAGCCAATAGCTCAGTGACTAAGCTAGCAGTCAGGATTGGGTAGCACCCAACAGCTGTATGACACATCTGTGTAATGCATGCTGGGTATGGCATAAAAATGATACACAATCGTGACTTGTGTCAAACTGATGAGGCTGATGGATTTAAATGCTGATCTACAGAATATATACAATAGAATACACATAACACAACAAGCAACACATTAAACACTAGTTTTAGGCTGAAAATGCTCCTTTAAGGTGATCCTGTTGCTGATACAGGCGTCCAACTGCTTCTATAACCTACACAGAAAAGCACTAACCAATAGAACATGATGCTCTGGAGGAGATGCACAGAAGCCCAATGCCAAACGTGGGCTAGAGGGGTATAAAGCCCCCCAGCATTGGGCTGTGGAGCAGTGGAACTGTGTTCTCTGGAGTGATGGAGCTCCATCCAATACCTTCGGGATGAGTTGGAGATCCAGAACTGACCATCCAACATCAGTACCTGACCTCACTAATGCTCAATCAAATCCTCACAGCAATGTTTCAACATCTAGAGCCTTCCCAGAAGAGCAGAGGCTGTTACTGCAGCGCAAACTCACTATTAACACCTTCACTTCAGAAGAAACGGGTGTCTACAAACTTTCGGACAAGTGTAAAAACAAGAACGTTCTATCCTCGTCTGCTGATTCTGGAGCAAAGATAACTTCAGTGCTTGTCAGAATCAAGGCTAAAATAATAAACACACTCCTAAGATAGTAAATGCATGTATTTGTCACTTTTAAATGAGGACAATGAAGTAATGACAAGCTCACAAAGAAGCCCAACCAACACAGCGCTCATCAATGCAGGCGCCCCTTCTTTGATTAAAGGGGAATTCCACTAATTACTCATAATTAAGTGGTTTAGATGTAAACAGAGCGGTTCAGAGTCATTCAGAGTGGTTTGGTGTGAAACGCTCCGCTCTAGAGAAACTTACGGAGTCAGAACTGTTCACAGTGGTGGTGATAGGAACCAGACGTCCACCTCTAAAAGCTCCCTCACAGAAAGTTACTACAGGAAATGGCCTGATGACTGAGACACTGTTTTATGATAGTTTTGAGAAGATTTTGGCCTAAAGCAATAATTTTTAAATACATTTAATGTAAGGTGAAGGGGATACAGTTACACCCCCCCCTCAAAAATGGCCTATATTTTAATAAAACAGTGGACTTACCACTGCTTTACCATCATCAACATTACATATCATTGCTGTCCAAAGGAAAGCAAGTTTCTCCAAAAAGCTGAAGAGGAGATGGTAAAAACATTTTTACCTTTTAATGTAAGTTAATGTAAAGAGATTTTATTCCAAGCAATTTTGGAGCATTTCTATCGGCCCATTCTTCATGAAATTTTCACACAATATGGAGGGGGTGGAGGGGGCTCAAGGGGGGGGGTGAAGGGGTGTGGAGTTTGGGTGCTGTGCAAAAAAATAAAAATCACCAAAAAATGGACACTTGCTTTTTTGACTGTGACATATGGGTTCAATGTTTTGGATTAGGAAAACATGATATTTACTGTTACTGCAATATAATTTATCACAGCATATGATACAGCATAATACTCTATAATGCTTTTACTCCTTTGTGAGCATTGTGGATGTTGTCAGTGCTGAGCAACTGTATGTTTCATTACAAAGGGAGCATAATCAGCCCTGTTTAACTGAATTTAGTGCAGAATAGTGTGTGGTATACTAAAAATCATTGTATTTATATTTCTTAAAGGTATCAGTATTAACAGTAATAGTGTTTCAACTTATTTAACAAACCGTTCTGATTCATATTGTGCATCATATTTTGTCTTGAAGTATCATGATACTACATTTTTGCCATATTGCGCAGCCCCATTCTGGATAGTAAATAATGTCTATATTTGTGTTGTAGTCATGGTAACCCCTGGTTCCTATCACCACCACTGTAAAGACATCTGAGCCATTTCACAACAAACCACTCTGAATCACTCTGATTACATCTCACACACTGAATTATGCAGAAATTTAGAAAAACTGGGTGGAATTCCCCTTTTGCTACACTCAGTTAAGCTGTGCTGGAGTCAGAGCGAGTGGAAACTCGGACTTTGCGTTTTTCCTGTGGGGTCAGATGCACATCAGGCCTGCAGGAGCTGCGTCAGGTGTCCAGGAAGAGAGCAGGAAAAGATTGGAAACAATACGGCCTCCCACGGGAAGATGACACGGTGTGAAGTGGTGGGGTCGGTGGACCTCCGTACGGGGCACATCCTGTTCATTAATCAGCTACTTCCTGTTTCTGCAGAAAGAGGTGTATCTCTCTCTCTCTTCTCTCTGATTCCTCTCACAGCATCCCTCGCTCTCTCATACAATACAGCCAAACAAAAGGACATGAGGTCATATTTCCTCTGCTTACAGTTAACAAAAGATCGTTTGCACAATGCGCAACGTCTTTATCTCCAATATTACCAGAAGCAGAAATCAGCTCTGATTAGGGCTGGAAATAATTATTATTTCCATAGTCGATTAGTCTAAACATTATTAAATTAACTGACTAATCATATAACCAGTCTGATTTCAAAGCTCCGCCATCATTCAAAGCTCCGTCTGTGCAACAATCAGTTTCATAGTACTGTGAAACAGAGCCATATCGCCCCCTACACTTCCTGTAGTGTACTACAGTCTGTCAGAATGACTGTGTGGATCATATGAACATTATAGAGGCTTTTTAAATGAAACAGTAGAAGCCATATCGCCCCCTACGCTTCCTGTAGTGTATTACAGTCTGTCAGAATGACTGTGTGGATCATATGAACATTATAGAGGCTTTTTAAATGAAACAGTAGAAGCCATATCGCCCCCTACACTTCCTGTAGTGTATAACGGTCTGTCAGAATGACTGTGTGGATCATATGAACATTATAGAGGCTTTTTAAATGAAACAGTAGAAGTCATGTTTCATATTAAGCCTTAAAATGTGTTTCACAACAATATTTTGTAACTAAAAAACAGAAAAATATCATTGTAAAAGGAAAAGAAGAATTTATGTTGTACATAGTATAATTTTATGTTTGTTCTCTCATGAAGTAAGGGGGTGGGGTTAGGGTAACTTTCTCATAAAGGGCCAATTTTGGCCTTTGGGCAGCAATTCCCAGAAAATTCTGGGCAGCACTGGTCTAAGGTAACAAGATTTTATTCCATCATCAAGAGATCAAGAGTTTAAATCTCGGCAATGCGATGTACAAAAAGGCACTATTTACAGGAGCGTTATTTTTTTACAGATATCCAAAACCCCAGGTTATCAAAATGAGCTGATATTATTGACCAACCCATATACTGGTTAGACCCTAATAAACATTAATGCACACACAAACAAGCAGCGTTCCCATAACCAGCAGAGTGACCCCAGGAGGGCCAGGGTCAGCGATTAACGTCCAAAACTGCGTCACATCTCTGTAAAACCCCCAGAGGCCAGCGAGGGACAGGAGAGTGATGGCACAGGAGCACAGAGTGACCATCATTCATCAAACCCAGCATCAGTCAGAGACACACAGACAGAGAGAGAGAGAGAGAGAGAGAGAGAATAAAACTAAGCAGACACTCACCTCAGTCTGATCCATGTCTGTTAATGATGCCTGAACATCAGCAGAAACACTGAGGTCATCTATCAGAGAAAACAGAGACGTGTATTAGGTTCAGAAACCACCGGCCGAATGCATGTAGTTAGACTCTTACAGCCTGCAGTTATGGGTGATGATAAAAAATGATACTATGAATTATTTCTGACTCGTCGCTCACAAACAAGTGGAGAAATTGTGCTGAGAGTGCAGACTGGAAGCTTTCAGTCCAGACCACATTCGTGTTTGTAAGCAAAAGAGGAGATATTTTATTACGATTTTTTGTGATCAATTTTTTTTATTAGTTCCATTCCTCTCTAATGCAGACAAACATGAATGAGCTCAGTCAAAATTACAGTCAATAAAGGCACAGATACAGTCAGTGTCACACCAACTGGGAAAATGAGTACAGCGTGAGTTTAAGGGCTTCGTCTAATGGGCTAATATCAAATCTTTAAGAGCTGATTCAGCTGCATCCCACACTAATGCTGTGAATTATTTCTGATTCACAGCTTAAAGAAACAGGTGCTAAAAGTGCAGATTCTAAACTTCAGTCCAGGCGACATTTGTTTGTGTGAGCAGAGGAGACGTTTTATTAGGATTTGAATTTTTTGTGACAAATTTTTAAATAAGTTCTTAAAAGACAACATGATGTAGCTTCCATTCCTCTCTAACGCAGACAAACATGAATACGCTCAGTCAAAATTACAGTCAATGAAAGCACCGACAGTCAGTGTCACGCCAACTGAGAAAAACGGGTATAGGGTGAGTTTAAGGGCTTCATCTAATGAGCTAATATTAAATCTTTAAGAGCTGATTTAATCACATCCCACACTAATGCTGTGAATTATTTCCAACTCGTAGCTTAACCCTTTAATGTCCTCACCAAGAAAAAAAAACAAAGGAAAATTTATTTTTTTATTTTTTATTTGTTTGGTGCAACAATAAAGACAATTTGGTGTTTTTTTTGACCCCACAGTTTTTAGAATATTCACGTCTACCAAACTGTTGAGGTGGCACATTGTGGCTAAATCAGGACATATATAGTTTCTCAAAATGTGCTCTACCAAAGGGTTGAGCAGAACAGATGAAACAAGTGCTAAAAGTGCAGACTCTAAACTTTCAGTCCAGACCACATTCGTGTTTGTAAGCAAAAGAGGAGATATTTTATTACGATTTTTTGTGATAAATTTTTTTTATTAGTTCCATTCCTCTCTAATGCAGACAAACATGAATGAGCTCAGTCAAAATTACAGTCAATAAAGGCACAGATACAGTCAGTGTCACACCAACTGGGAAAATGAGTATAGCGTGAGTTTAAGGGCTTCGTCTAATGGGCTAATATTAAATCTTTAAGAGCTGATTTAGTCACATCTGACGCCAACACTGTAGCTGAATTTATCAGCGCTGTGGTGCACTAAAGGGAAACGATATCATAACAAAATAATAGCCACAGCTGTATATGTGAATTGAATCCATTACGTATAATACTCTTTTTAGCAGCAGTGAGATCAGCAAAGAAGTTTTTGAGCTAATGTGAAGGTGAAAGTGCTGACTGTGTCGGCTCTGTGTTTACATTAAGGCCCAATCCCATTTCACCCCTCGCCCCTACCACTGAGCCCTTAGCCCTCGCGTCTAGGGGTAGGGTGTCCTGATTCTTGTTGAGATAGAGGGGGAGGGTGAAGTGTTGGGGCTACATGACCCTCCAAACGGAGGTTTTTCAGAGACTCCAAACAGAGAGATATGAGAAAAAAAGAAAAACCGGCAAGACGGAGAACAAGAGACCAAAGAAACCCACAAATGTGAGAATTTTCTCTGTTAAAAAATTACAATAACCATCATATTATCTTAGTTTAATGTCGTTTCAGTGTATTTTGGTTGTTTTCTTCATAACATAAGCATAAAAAATCGCTAATAGCATGCTAATGTCTCGGTAGCTAGTTAGCTAACTTTCCCGTTCCACCTTAAATAGTCCAGCATTTCCGATACCTGAAGCGCCAGAATGTAACTGCTGCACCATTTAAGGTGGAAGAGGAAAATTCGAACAAGAATCTGGTGAATATCTGACTTCAGCTTCATATCACTGAAGAATTAGGGGTGGGTGATAATAAATAATTGCCCCCCTCTTTGAAGGCATATGATGCCCTAAATGTAACTAAAGCCCAGCAGTGAGGAGCTGAACTTTACCCTCCTCTGCTGTCACTGCAGACTGGCAGGGTCGCCTACAGAGCAGCGCTGGTAGCTGTTAATGAAGTGATGCTCTTTTTATTTGAGGGTCCCATTTCAGAGGAAGATTTCAACCACTACCCTGTAACTCAGTTCCAAGGGGTTAGGGTGACACTCAAAAACAAGGGGTAGGGGTAAAAGGAAGAAATGGGACTGGGCCTTATAGTTGATTAATTGATGAGCAAGATTGTTCCAGGTAACAGTCAGGTTACACCTTAACCGTACAAACCGGTTCCCATTCCCATTTAAATATTATTTCTAATATATAAGATGTATCTAACAGAGCTGTAGATCAGGATACAGAAAGTATATGAAGTATCTGTATTCTTTGTAAAGGCAGTATTCAGATCAGTTAAGTTTTTAGGAGAATACATTTAGAAGATTCATACTGAATTAAAATCACAATCATCGATAATCACTACAGTACTAATCCAGCTCGAATAGAGCTTTAGATATAGAAAGTAAGAGGTGCCAGAGACAGATTTTTTTCTTTTACAACTGTATATTTGCACAAACCAAAGTGGTTAAACAATTCACTAAAGATTTTGGTTTGAATTTGTTTAAGTTTGTGTGTCTTCATGTCCAAAAAGAACTACCATCATTTTCATTTTTGCTGCTGTTGTCAATATTTCACACCAAATGAACAGAAACTGTTCAGAAGTGTAGAGTTTAACTCATCTACACAGAATGTATATGTTCTTCTTTAAGTAGTTAACCATGTCACCAATCATGGAATTATGCAATTTAACTATAAACCAAGCAAAGGCAACAAAAACTCAAATCAAAAACACGTGTGAGGGTTAAACTGCTGACTGCTCTGACACAGCAGCTGTTGGCACACAGTTTAAGAATCCGATCACAAAGCTGGCAGAAGAGACTCTGAACTTTTACTACTGTTCCAGTCTGGGACGAGGTGTGGAGCGCCACCTATAATCCCCCAACAACAACTTACACTGTCCAGCTTTAGCTCTGCACTCACAGACTCGTCTAATTGACAGTGATCCAGTGATTTATAGCTCTGCTACAGTTAATTCAGATGTAATTTGTTTTCACATATTTATTTTATTTATAACAATAATTTCTTATATTTCACACTTTCCATTACAACATGAACTTAAGGTGCTTTAGAGAACCATAAAACAAAATTCATGAAAGCAGGTCTAAGAGAAAGGTCTTCAGATCCTTCTTAAGACATAAGAATTACTTAAAACACAACAAAATTTAATTTATAAAAACAAAAAGAAAAGTCCTAAGTTTCTTTTCAAAGAGAGATAAAGATCCAGAAGAGACTCAATACACTAAAATTTCATGTAACCTCATTAGACCTCGCTCACCAAAAGCTCTTAAGAAGAAATTTCTTCTTAGAACCCACTTACGCAGTTTTGACGAAGATTCTGACTCACCGATGTTTCATTATTTGGGATTTGTTCTTAGGTGAGAACAGTTCTGCGCTCATCGTCATGAATCTGACGTAGACTTTTTCTTAGGACCTTTCTCAAGAACACACTTAAGAAGATACTGGAGAATGAGGGCCAATGACATTACTACTACTATTAATGATAATTAGTACTATTACTAAAATAACAGTAAGTACAACTATTACTGATAATCAACAATAAAAACTTAATTAATTTTATTATTATAACCATATTATTATAATTATTATTATTATTATCAGTAGTAGTAGTAGTAGTACTAGTAGTAGTAAGGCTCTTTGTTTGTAAGGACAGAAATGCCTACACTAAATAAATAAATAAATAAATAAACATGGATCTTCAAGGGTTCTCAAGTGTTGTCCAGTAAAAAGAATGGTTCTTTTTAGAACCATGAGTCTTATATAGTACCATTTCATCCTTACATGGTTCTTTGAATGGTGAAATTGTTCTTCAGATTGATGGAGAATATGTGTCTAATATGGTGTAATAAATAAACAAATGAATAAATAAATAAATAAAAGTGAACTCAAGGTCTGAAAAGGTCTGAAGTGACTCTGCTTCTCCCTCCGAGACTAACGCAGTTTTCACTGCTCCAAACTCTGATTACTGCAGTGATTCCGTTATATTTTGAATTTTGCCTTAACTTAAAGGTGAATTCCACCAATTTTTAAAATTCTCAGAGACTCTGATGTCTTTACAGTGGTGGTGATAGGAACCAGGGGTCGCCATGACTACAACACAAATATAGACAATTTTATTTACTATCCAGAACCACCAGTGAACCTACACGAGTCTTCTGGGTTTATATGGAATGTTGATGATGGGAAATAGCAGAAAATCTGAAATAATATGCTTTTTTTTCAGGACTATTTTGGCCCACAACGTCCTGCACGTATCCCTCCACCATGAGTGGTTACGGTCAGGGTTATGAATGGATTTAAAAATATATTTTAGGTCTAACCTAACAGGAGCTTTTAGAGGTGGACATCTGGTTCCTATCACCACCACTGCGAACAACTGTGACTCGGTAAGTTTCTCTAGAACGAAGAATTTCACACCAGACCTCTCTGAATGACTCTGTTTACACCTCAACCATTTAAATCACATAGAATTTTTGAAAAATCGGTTCCTCTTTAAAAGAATTATCCACTGAAGGTTCCTCAGGGAACCAAAAGTGATTCTTCCACAGCACTGCTCCCATCAGCCCCTTTTTAGACAGCTTTATTTTAAGAGCACACGCTGCACAAATAGAGCTTCTCCTCTCCTTATTATACCCAGTGAGGTAACGGGGTAGATTTCCTGTTTCTGACTGCTGCTTCCTCTCAGGTTGAGTTTCGAATCATATCTGACAGAGTTTTAAACCAGCTTTCAGCAGCTCTCCTCAC